ACTCTGATTTTAGCCTCGGTTACTATTGCTGAGGCTACCAATCAGGCTGATCCGGAGCCAACGAAAGAATCTTTTCCGAGGAACCCAGACAAGCAAAAGCGTGACCGAGGTACAGGACTTTCCATTGAGGAGAGTTAGCAAAAGGCGTACACAAGGTACGCGGAGTGTGGACGAGAGGAGGACAAAGCACCGACATGACGATGGTGAGCAAGAAAAAGAAAAAGAAAAGGACAGAGAGGAAGTGAAAGAAAAGGAAAAGTAGAAAGAGAAAAATGGAGAATGGGAGAAAGAAAACGAAAAGGAGAAAGGAAAAGGAAAGGAGATTTAAGTTGAAGTCGGCGAGGGTTCTTATTTGAAAATCAATGAGGAGCGGGCCAAAAAGATTAAAATTCCCGACGTGATAGACAAGTGGTACTCAACTTTCACGTCAGTTGAGGGTCCGAAGCTGCCTAACCGATTTCACTTTCTGAGGACAACAATGGAAGCTGCCTAGATCCTATTGAAGGCTTGGGATCCGAGGATTAATGCTGGGATTTCATCGCTTTCTGGTTTCCATAGATTTGGGTACGCCAAGGCGTGTCTCGGTCGTGCTTTAGCCAGTTTGATATCTGCTGAGGATAGTTACCGTTAGAGCCTTATCGATTTGGATGAAACGAGAGAGGAATTAGGAGTTCAAACTAGCACGAAAGCATCTCTGGAGGAAGAGAAGGTTGGTTTAATGGCTTCGGTTACCGAGAAGAACGACCAGTTGAAAGTGGTTCAAGCCAAGATCGCAGAATTGACTCGGAAAAGAATCATATGGAGACTGAGTTGAAGAGTCTGGCGGACCTCCTGGCCATTGCAGAGCAGACAGCTAAGGCCAAAGATGAGCAGTTGTTGAAAGAGTGTAACGACCATCAGGCAACTCGGCGCGATCGTTCCGAAAAGGAAGCTTCACTTATCTGTGCTCGCGAAGCTTACGACAAAGAGATCGCTCGCTTAGAGGAGGAAAAAACAACCTTTGGGAGTTTAAAGTATGAGGAAGGTTTGGAGACCGGAAAAACTCTCGGAAAAGATGGAATGGAGGGGGAGGATAATAGCGTTGTGATCGATTTCGAGATAAACACATGCATTAGTCTGAGATGGCTTATCGAAAGAGTGGGAGGTTGGAAAAGTACGGTCTCAATTTCTCAATCAAGTTTATGCACGTGCCTGTTTATGAAGATGAAATTGACTTCTGTGGGTGGCTCTTCAGTCGGGCCGAGAAGGAAAGAGAAAGGCGAACCCCGACATCGTGCCTTTGAGTGAGGAACGTGACCTCTTCCTACGTCGCGCTTATGCCGAAATGATACTTGAATGTGAGAGAGACAAAAGGTTGGAGCTGGCTGAGGTCTTCATCAACACTCTGGCCGATGTGAATGTGGCGCCGAACATTGAAAATATGTCTCCCGCGCAGCTTCGACAGGTAGTTCTCGATTTTGCCGCAAGAAAAATTGAAGAGCTATCGGCCGCTGGTTCGAAGCCACCCCAGTTAACTTCTCTAGAAATTCAGACTGAGGAGGATGTGATAATCAAAGAGATCTTATTCTCACTTGCTTAAACTGAATACAAGAGTACGAATATATAGAGTACAATACGGAAAAGAAGGAAACAAATAACAGCTAGAGATATTCAAGGATTTGAGTATATCTATATCTTAATATGGTTAACACCCCCCCCCCTTCAAGCTAAGTCGTGTCTGCAACAGAAACGCGTAGCTTGGTCCTAAAAAAATCAAATAGACCGTGCGATAAGCTCATCGTGAATATATCCGCCACCTGATTGTCAGACTCCACGAATTTAGTGAATAGATGCCCAGAGTCCACAAGCTCTCGAACAAAGTGATAGTCGATATCAATGTGCTTTGCGCGCTTACGCGAAACTGGATTTTGAGTGAGAAAAATCGCACTTGTGTTATCAGAGTAGAGCGTTGAAGAGGATGGTGGAACCGCATAAAAATCTCGAAGGAGATTCATAATCCATTGGATTTCCGAAGCAGTGTGAGCAATGGCTCTATATTCAGACTCACAACTAGAGCGAGCCACGGTTGGCTGTTTCTTCGCACTCCAAAAAACAAGATTGGGGCCAAGATAAATGGCATAACCATAGGTTGAGCGATGAGTGTCCAAACACCGTGCCCAGTCAGCGTCAGAGTAGCCAACAAGAGAAGAAGGACCAGCCGAATAAGACAAACCATAGTTCAGCGTCCCTTTGACGTAGCGGAGAATCCACTTGACGGACTGGAAATGATCGGTGGTCGGATGTTGCTGGAATTGACTGACAGTGTTTACTGAATAAGCAATATCTGGGCGCGTGATCGTTAAATATTGCAGCACACCAACCAGAGAACGATAAAGTGTTGGATTGTCAAAAAGATCACCATCTTTGGTCATAGAAGAGCCGGGTGCAAGCGGGGTAGCAATGGGCTTGGAGTGCTGAAGCTCAGCATGCTGAAAAATCTCCAAGGCGTACTTAGACTGACAGAGAAATAAGCCGGAAGAGGAGCGAGTAACCTCTAGACCAAGAAAGAAGCCAAGAGAGCCCATATTCTTAATCGCGAACTCGCGATTCATACGAGTGATGAGGCCTGCAAGGACAGTTGGAATGTTGCCGGTGATGATTATGTCATCAACATAAACCAAAAGATAAACCAATGTGTCGCCACTCTTGTGAACAAAGAGAGAAGTATCTGAAGAACTGCATAAAAAACCAATGGAAAGCAGAAAACCGCGGAAGAGTTGATACCAAGCAAGGGGAGCTTGCCGGAGACCATAGATGGCTTTATTTAACTGACAAACATGGTCAGGAAAACGAGGATCAATAAAGCTAGGGGGCTGTTCCATAAAGACCGGAGAAGATAGAACACCATTTAAGAAGGCGTTTTTGACGTCCAGTTGGTGAAGCGACCAAGAGTTCATAACAACGAGTGAAAGAACAATCTGAGTCGTGGATGCTTTGACAACCGGACTGAAGGTATGAGTGAAATCAAAACCAAGAATTTGGCTAAACCCTTGGGCAACCAAGCGAGCTTTATAGCGATCAACAAAACCATCAGCAAGAAGTTTAGTGCGAAACACCCACCTCGAACCAACTATGTTGGTGGAGGAAGGGCGCGGCACGAGAGACCAAGTGTTATTTGCCTTTAAAGCAGATAATTCCTCATGCATAGCACGCACCCATTCTGGAGATTTAAGAGCAGTCGTGATGCCCGTGGCTCCGGAATAGCAGTAAGAGCTGTAAGAAGAGATGCACAGTTAATGATGGCAGGATATCGAGGTTTAAAGATACCTGACTTTGCTCGAGTTTGCATCAAATGTGTAGCAGCAGGAGGTGCTCGTGGCACATCAGGAGGAGCTCGTGGCGCGGTAACCGGCTGGAGATCGAGTCGCGCATCAGCAGGTTATGTGTGAGGAAGATCATTAGTGGGGGTCGGACCAGGAGGAGTATGTGGTGGAGCAGCGGATGGCTGGACCAAGTCACCTGACGCACAAAAGCGGCAAGTGGAAGGAGCTTGCGGCGGAGTAGGAGATGGCGAAAGTGTATCGGTGTCCGAAGCAAGAAAATCATCAACATAAGTTGAAATATCCAGAGAAGAAGGAGAAACCGAAGATGTGACTGCAGAGAAAGGGAAGCACGATTCATCAAAGTGAGCATGGCGTGTGATATAGACCTTTGAGTTCGACGGATCCAAGCATCTAAAACCTTTGTGATAAGGGCTATAGCCGATGAAGATGCACGGCTGACTGCGAGGTTGGAGCTTGTGCTTCACATAGTCGTGTAGACATGGAAAAACCAGACATCCAAAATTGCGAAAGAGTAACTCGGCTGCGTTGCATAGAAACATTCAAAAGGCGAAATATTGTGAAGAACCGGCGAAGGAAGTCGGTTAATAGTGAACACAGCAGTACTGAAGGCTTCAACCCATAAATGTAGAGGAGCGGGAGAGTGAAACAGAAGAGTGAGGCCCATCTCCGTGATGTGTCGATGCTTCCGTTCAGCTCTACCATTTTGCTCCGGTGTATACGGACAGGATAGAAGATGGTGAATTCCACATTTAGAGAAGTGTGCTTTAACATGATTGTTAACAAACTCAGAACCCCCGTCACTTTGAAAACGCTTGATGGTGCAAGAGAACTGATTTTCCACAAATGCCTGGAAGCTTATAAAAGTGTCATAAAAATCTGATTTGGCATGAAGAGGGTAGAACCAAGTAAAACGCGAGTAGTCATCCACAAAAATAACATAATACCGAAAACCAGCCGTAGAGGTAACTGGGGAAGGTCCCCACAAATCACAATGAATTAAATCCAATAAAGCAGAAGATCGTTTCGTTGAAATAGGAAAAGACAGACGCTTGCTTTTAGCTAAATGATCTGGAATGCCAAAGTTCAGAGGAAGCACGCCGAGATCTAGATGTGTGAGCCGCAAAAGCCTTGACCGCCAAATCCAAACGGTACAAGCCACTATCACGCATGCCGGTTGCGATATGGTGCCGCTGTCCTTGTGCTGAATACGAAGGGAGGAGTTAGTGAAGATAACATGAACATGTAAGTCTCTGGTCAATTTGCTAACAGATAAAAGATTCTTAGTCATTCCGGGCACAATAAGGACATCGCGTAAAGAAAAATGATTAGAAATAATAAGAGAACCAGTTTGCGTGATACGAAGTTGATCACCATTACCCACTGTGACACGGTCGGAGTCGGTGTAATCAGTAAGATCATCAAGCTGAGATGCATCCGAGGTGATATGAGCATAAGCCCAGTGTCTAAGTACCAATCAGAAACATTAGGTTGCGATATAGAGCAGCTTGATGATAGTTCTTCGGCCAGATTAGCTGTAGTAGAAGATCGGGAAGGCCGAGTGAAAGAGCGGTCAAAACATCGAGGTCAGTCCCATGCATCATGATTCTCTTCACGGCCGAAATAGCACCTCGGCGGACGACGACGTTTGCCTTTATTTTTCTTGAAACGTCCTTGTGGCTAAGACGAGGTCAAAGGACGACCCTTAGGATCAACATAAAAGGCAACCGAAGAGGACGATGGCGAGATGTCAGATGAACGTTGGAAGAGTTGGTAACTTTCGGCGCGGGCAAGAAGTGTGTCGAAGTCAGGAAGAAGCTCCTGAGCAAGTTGCGCGACCGTCAACGTCGAAAAAATAGGCCCCAAACCTCGCAGGAACCAGTGAGATTTGTCAGTCGAATCAATAGACCGACCGATGGCAGCAAGTTTGTCACAAATCGTATTGAAACGCTGTCCATATTCAGAAACGGAAAGATCCCCACGCTTGACTGAGAGAAGATCGTCCTTCAGGCTAAGTTCTCGAGCCTTCGAGGCATGACTATAAGTACGAGTCAGAGAGGTCCAGACATCACGGGACGAAGTGCAGCCAATAACAACGGCCATGGATTCTTCCGTAAGAGTGGAAACAAGAAATAGCTGGATCAGTTGATCCTGGGAATACCAAGGGGCAAATTCGGGATTGGTAGATTTTTGACCTGCCGGTGTAGTGATCTCGCGCGATGTGCATGGGGAAGAACCATCCAGATGTGGAAGAAAACCCTGGGTGATGAGAAGGGGTTCGATCTGGGCATTCCACAAGAGATAATTTGCGGAAGTGAGTTTGATATTCACCATATGGATCATTGTAGAAAGAGGAAGCGAAGGAATGCTACCCTCTGCGGCCATGGAAGAAGCAGGAACGGCCGATAAAAAAAAAAAATAGGGCTTGCCAAAAAGTTTGGCTGATACCATGTGATAATCAAAGAGATCTTATTCTCACTTGCTTAAACTGAATACAAGAGTACATAGAGTACAATATCGAAAAGAAGGAAACAAATAACAGCTAGAGATATTCAAGGATTTGAGTATATCTATATCTTAATATGGTTAACAGAGGAGATGTTCTCGAAGAACGTGATTGCTGTTGTAGCCAAAGCAAAAGAGGATGCAATGTTGGAGGCAATCGACACAGAGATGCTGAAGCAACTAGAAAAGGAGGACGCCGAGGCGTTAAAGAAAGTAATCAATAAGAGCGGCAATGATGGGGCAGGAACGTCGGGAACTATTTAAATATATATCTTATGTTCTGTATGTTTTTTTTTTGGGAAAATTTGGCAAACTATTGGCATGTCGGTACTTTGCAAAGTATGAATGAATTTTATCACAATTTTGCATTGTTTACTTTTCATCAGCGTAAATAGATTAAGCTTAAATAAGACAAAAATAAGAAGTCCTTCATCTTGACTTTGGCTTTCAGGCAAAACTTTAACGAGGTAACTTATCTTTAAATCAAGAACAATTTAAGTGAAAGATGAATGTCTTTGAAATTTCTGATACCGAGATAAAAGAAAGTTCCATTCGGGTTAATCAATAATGTCGGTTATTGTCTTCCAACTTAAATTAAGAAGTTTGAATTAAGAACATCGGCTTTTATTGTTCTGACCTAAGTTAAGAAGTTCATCGAACCTAACTTCAGGGCCCCATGTGGAGATGAACTATCTTGAGTACTCGTTAGTGTTTTTTTTAAAGAACAGCCATACCGAGTTGTCGTGTGCAATCGGCAAAAGAACAAGGTTGACCAAATTATTTTACGAATTTGGTAAGGAAATTAACCACATCAAATCATCTTCAGGATTTGAAAGGAAAGTGGTCAAATTGGACATCTTCAGGACTCGAGTAAAGAACTAACCTCACCAAATCATCTTCAGGATTTGACAAAAGAGTGGCCTTTTATCAAACCAACTTCAGGGTTTGATGAAGAAATTAGGAAAAAGCAAGGAGCGTTTCTTTTACTACAATACAAGAAAAGGTAAGAAGAAATTTACATTGTTGTTTTCTTCTTTACTGATAGTATTTTCTGAGGAAGAAGGCGTTACACGGGTATTGATGTTGAACTCTGTCAGGATACTCGAGTCGGTAAGCTCCCTTCGGTAGGACTTTACTAATTTTGAAAGGTCCTTCCCATTTCGGCTTCAATGGTCCGGGATCAGGTCTAGTGATTCTTTTAAGAACTAAGTCACCGACTCGGTACATTCGGGGTCTGTTGTAGCACAAATTATTATTTTTACCGAGCACCGAATCGAGAGATTCGTTTTCTAGGTCGATCTCGCGAGGAAGGCAGTTCGGAATTCAGCTTTGATATTGATAGCACATAAAGTGAAGGAAAATTCTAAACATTCTAATCAAATATGGGAAGATTAATTATAAACTAAGAAATAATATAAAAACAAAAAATCTACCTAAAATATAAACGAAACAAAGATGGAGAAGCTAGGGAGTCGAGGACAATTAATTCAAGTTCTAGCAAAACCAGGCAATTCATCGTTCGACTCGAGATTGACACTCTAGCTTAGAAATCTAGCGGTTCGCTCTCAATAACTCTTCGTAACAAGGGATTGAACGTAGACGTACAAGCTCGAGCATACAACACAGGACAACTATCCTAATCCCAATAACTTCTCGTAACAAGGGACGGGTCATCGACACACACGTATTTCAATCAAGAACCTATAGACTATTCAATTACGAAATCATCTACCTCGTGTGAGCCTATTTCTACGACTTCTCCCCTTTCGGTTCAAAAAGTCGCTAATTTAACTAGAAGGTGCTTAATCAAATAATCATGGGAATCAATAACACTAAACTTGATAATTTAATATCCAATTGTTACCAACTACAAGGTCGAAAGACATCCCAAGGGTATTCCATTAGTGGGATCCATAGCATACGGGTCTTTCCCAAGCCAGTAAAAGAAGAAGGTTTTCGAGAACTACCCTAGTGTCACCCTTCGATTACATCAAACTATCAAGCACAATTCCATTAATTCTTAATTCAATCAACTCACATAAGAACGAACAATTCAAGACCGAGAGATGCACGTTAAACGAGAATAATCATCCCCTATCCCTAGCAATCAAATTTAGCTATGTAAAATAAATTCGAAACAATTAATCATATGAACCCAAACAACCAATTTCATCAATTAAATGAAAATGAGACAACTTACAATTAATATGTAAGAATCATTCTCGAATCCAAGTTACAAGCTTAATCCAATAGCATGAAAAAATTCTAGAGGAAAAATAGAAAAGAAAAGTGAAAAGAGGAAGATGAAGAACGAAGAAGAAGAGAGAGAAAAAGAGAAGGAGAGTCTTATTCGTGTTTTCTTGGGACCTAGGGTTTTCACCCGGTACAGAGGTATCTAGCCTGAATTCTCACTGAGTCTCGTAATTTATATATGTCAGCATGCACGGCGCGGAGGAAAGTAGACGCGGCGTGAGGAGAGCCCAATGGCGCGGCGTGTGGACTGCCGCGGCGCAGGGAGGAAATGCGCCGCGGTGCGGAGCAGTGTCACGGTGCGACGAAAAAGTCTACTGGGCTCCGTATATGTGTGGAGGACACCGTGAGGAGCAGCACGGCGTGAGGAGCATCTGCCGCGGCGCGAGGTCATGCCGCGGCATGAGGAAGAGCTGGTCGCGGCGTGGAGCAGCGTGATCTGGACTAGGCGTCGCGGCGCGAGGTGATAGCACGACGTGAAGAGAAGCTGTGACACGGTGGGCTGCTTCTCGCGGCGTGAAGGGATGGCGTGCCACGACACGGTAGGTGTCACGGCGCGAGGCTGATTCCTGGGCGCTCTGTCGGGTACGTGGCGGCTGCGCGGCGCGGTGAGTGTGTGGAGCTCGGACTGTCGCGGCGCGGGGCCTAGGTACATGGGTCCGTTTGAACTCATTTCAACACGGACCCGAGTACCCAGGCCCCACGCCGCAGCAGTCCGAGCTCCACACACTCACTGCGTCGTGCAGCCGCCACCTACAGAATGATTTTATTTTTTGTGTTTCTCTTATTTTCGTGATTTCGTATTTTTATTCTTTCTTTTGTGCTTCTTTGTTTTCTTTTTGTCTATTTGTTTTTGTTTCCTTTGTTTTCTTTTTTTTTCTCTTTTTGTGGCTTTGCGTGGTTTTTCTGTTTTGGTGTGCAGGTATTATGAGCTATAACAGTGTGTTCCCTTATTCGCACACCCAATCTTGGGGTATCGCGCCGAGCTATTCCACTGGGCATCACTACCAGCCATATTCATTCCCTTCCGAGCAGTACTGGGACCACTCCCCGGGTGAACAATATTATGAGTCCCACGAATTCAACGAGAAGCTCGACCATATATATGCTTTCGCATCATCCCGGTTAGCTAAGGAAGATGAAACCACAGCCCGGTGTGCCATTCTGAACTAGCCACCTCCATTCTACGATTCCTGGGACTATGGCCAGACTTGGTCACATCCCTACGAGCACCAGTGGGATTTCTGGCCTGTCGATCAGTCATATGATTCCCTCGAGGACTCTTCAGGGTACAGTGCCAAGCTCGACCAGGTCATCGCTCTTTTAGCCTCCTAAGCGGCCCGTAGGAACAATGTTGAGTCCAGAATCGAGAACCTTGTGAAGCGCGTGCAAGCCTTAGAGGATCAAGTTAATGATGTTACTCCCGAACCCACCGCTCAAGGCGAGTTTACACATAGAGACGAATCTCGGGAGGCTGTTTTGTCATACGATGAAAAACTCGACCTTATCCTTGCACGTATATCTGCCCTGACTACTTGAGATGTGTACATTGAGCTCGGATGTGCTAGACTGAGCGTGAAAATGGAGACTCTTGCAGCACATACCGGCTCAATCGAGGCAAGAGTCGACGACCCCCAAATCAAGCCCGCACGATGAAGCAAATGTGTGAGGCCAAAGAAGAAGATTATGAGCTCGAGCGAGACATTGATTATATTTCAGAGGAGAAGACCCACGGGCTTGATTCTCATTCTCCTCTCACTTCCGAGTTGGAGCATCCATCTTCGAGGCCCTTACACTGTGATACGAGGTGGGAAGCATTCAGTTCGACTTGCTCCACTGATCAGCTTATATTTTTGGAGGTTGGCGATAGAGCTCGAGTGGGAAAATCTCTACGTTTACAGTTGGGTATTGCTCGTGCCCGAACCCGCTTCACCTAGAACATCGCCACCCGGATCCACTGCGCCAGCCTTCTCGCCAAACTTCCCATGCTACCACTTCTGAAAAATACGAACGCGTGGCACGACCGTCACTTCTTCCTAGATCCCAGTTGAGTTCCCCACTGGTTTCGTCAAGCTAATGACATTAAACAAGCGCTTCTTGGGAGTCAACCCAAGAAATTTACTGCTTTTCTAGATATTTTTATATTTGCTCTTTTAGTTTTATATTTTAATAATTGGAGGTTGGAGCTTTGTGGTTTTCTCGACATGTACTATTTGCGAGCTTGAGCAAAAGGAATAACGAGGTCCGAGGCTGAGCATAGGCGACTGACTTGCACATGCATGCTATTTCTCCTCGAGGCATCTTCGGTTTGCACACCCTTTTTCCCTTTCATTTTAATCTTTTTTGAG